CTATTGCAACGAGAAGAGGAATCTCTCTGTCTTCAGCAGATCCTCGGCCTGGCGTATCTAACAGACAAAGACAGGAACAGGCCAGTTGCACCTATACATTTCCAAGGCGTCCAAGATAGCCAAAGGGGAACTTTACCTCCATCACTGACGTGGACAAGGGCTACGTGTCTGTGGTCCCACAGTAAGCTAGATAGACTTAAAAGGGGTGTCCTTTAGACATCAGACACCTGACGTCTAAGCTGTCCAGCAACCCTGCCACATGAGCACACATGAAAAAAGCTGGGCGGTCGTAACTTCAAACAGATGCCACCAGTCAGAACAGCATCTTCCTCGCTAGGAAAAGCCACCTGGTGTAATTATCACCACGGTAATTAGCTGCCACCACCACCCAGGGCAGACAGAAAACCCCTGCTGCAGGTCCCTGGTGACTTTTAAGAGTCCCCTGGTGAGGGTTCTGTTTTCAGGCTGGAGGGAGGCAACTTCCTGACAGACTGAAGCTGCCGTGGAGGGAGACCCAAGGCAGAGTCCCGTGACCCAGTAAAGACCAAAGCATCAAGAGAAATGCCAAAACCAATCCCAAGAGAATGGTTTAATTCAAATGTTCTAATGGTAAAAAGACAGGTGCAGGGCAGGAGAGACAGCTCAGACGTGAAGAGCTCTGGCTGCTCTAGAAGACTGGGGTTCAAATCCCAGAATCTACATGGTGGCTCACAGCTGTCTGCAACTCCAGTTCCAGTCCTCAAAGGCACCTGTTCTCATACACTCAAAATACATAAATAAAACCTAAAATAAAAAAGATGACAATAAGACATAAAACATCTGTCTCTACTAATATTCACGTGATGGCTCACACTATTTAGAAAAAACAGTTCCAAAGCATCAAATCCCTACCGCTGAGCTTTAAATTGGTATGATAAAGATCCCCAGACTCAACCAAAAGATTAGAATTTGGGGAAAGATAAGCTCCAGACACCTAAATCCTGTTGTTGTTTTGGGTTCTGTTCCTGTTTGTTTGAGACAAAGTCTCACCGTATAGGCCAGGCTAGCCTCAAACTCAAGATCCCCCAGCCTCTACCTCAAGTGCTGAGATTAAAGGCATGCAATACCACACTCTATTTCAGAAGTTTAAACTCTGGACGAGCATTCCCCAACCCCAAATCACAGGGTGCAGGAGATCCGGGAATCACACTTCGCTTGCATTTTAATTCCCTGTTTACAATTCTAAAAGAGGTCTTACAAATACTCACCTTGAAATGACCAGCAGCTCATTAAGACAGAAAAATTAAACAAGCCATAGCACAAACGCACAAAGAGAAAGCAGATCTCGCTAATCACAACAACTGCCCACTTCTGTGTCTCCAAATTATATAAAAAGTGGGGCCAGTGAGATGACTCAGCAGGCAGAGGCACTTGGCACTGGAGCAAGGCAACCTGAGTTTGATGCCCACAACCCACGTACAAGCGGAAGCACCAACTGGACAAAGTTGTCCTCCAATCTCCACACTCTCCGACGCACACCCGTAATCCCACTAACTCTTTTTTCAATGATGTGAAATGTAAAAGAAGAGGCTGGGACACAGTGCTTGCCTAGCATGCACAAAGCCCTAAGTTTAACCACCAGCACGTAACTTGGGCACCGTGTTGCCTGCAATTCCAGCACTGGGAAGGTGGAGGCAGGAGGGTCAGGAGTTCAAGGTCATCCCCAGCCACACAGTGAGTTTGAGGCCAGCCTGGGTTGTATGAGACCTGGCCTCAAAAATTAATTAGTTGATTAATTAAATGTAAAAGAAAACATCAGAAGGGGGAATGTGATAGTAGGAACAGGGAAAAAATTTGAAGAATACAAATAAAAAATAAAAACTCAACACTAAAGAAGTGTAAAAGGTAAAAATTGAAACAATGTATTACAAATTTAGATAACAAAAGTGTTTAAAATAATCAAAGGAGCCAGGCATGGTGTTGCATACCTGTAATCCCAGCACTGGTTAGGCAGAGATAAGAGAATCTCTGTGAGTTTGAGGCCAGTCTGGTCCACATAGTAAGGCCTGGGTTTTATAACAAAAGTCTACCTCGAAAACAAACAAAACCTAAACCAAACACAGTGCCATCTATGAGCTGTGGAATTGTGGGTGAGCCATCCTGGGGATTGAACCCAGGGCCTGTGCATGCTACCCAGTGCTCTACTGCTAAATCCTACCCCAAGTTCTTAGTGACTGCCTTCTCCATCTTTCACTAACTTCCAGATTCTGCGGTGCTGCCAATGTCATGATGATCATCATTCTTAAATAGCCTAGTCTCTGAATAAGGAGCGGGGCGCCATTCTCTCCTTTTCTGCTGTTAGTGGCTGGCTAACTAAAAGCACTACCTTCAAAATAAGTCCCCAAGCATTTCAGGTTGTCTCCACAACAGTGAAGTCAGAACCAAACCTATAAATGCTTTCTTTAAAAAGAAAAAAAAAAAAAACACGCATTTAAAACGCTACAGGAAATCGAAATGGACAACAGAGCAATACAGCGCAGAGATCTCACTGAAGACTGTAATAAGGGGACCACCTGGAAGTCAACTCCACTGAGCCAAAGAGAAAGATGCTGAAGGCAGGGAACTTGCCATCCAGACGCGGAGGGACCGCTGCCTCCCAGAGGAACTGCAGGCAGGATTAAGGCACTCCCTGCACCCTCAGGACAGGCCCTCAGCAAAGCCCACGCCCACACTGCTACTGCAAGTACATCACTAAGATGAGAGGGTCCTGGTGCCACCGTGTCCCAGGATCAACAGCTACTGGCTGTCCCCAGACATCTCACAAGCCACCCTCCACCCAGCTGGATTCCCAGAGCCTGCCATCAGGCCACCATCAAGAAGTCATCCCTGAAGACCCTCCACCCAGCAGTTCCCTCAGAGTGGGTATAACCGTCCACACATGCTTACGCAATTACTCTGGGTTTGCAGTTGGGGCCCCGAGGCTGGGCCCTTGGAGCTGGATGCTATGCCCACTGCATCGCGCTCTGTGCTCCTGCCCAGAAGCAGCTGTGCAAACCAGAGAAGCCCAGTGAGCAACTTAGTGCAAAGGCGAGGTCTCTGCCTCGGTGACGTCAGCTCTAGAAGAGCCGGATAACTTCGCGTCTCCAGGCGGGATATTTGGATTAGGGGTAGCAGGGAAACAGAAAAGAGTCACTAAAGGAGGGCGAAGCATGTAGACTGGCCCACTGCTGACTTTAAATTTAGCAAAGTAACTTTATCTTCTACAGCCTCTCTAGAATATTCAGATGGCAATGTGCGTGTGGGAAACACTGGGGCCCCAGGAGCTAAGAGTATCGCAGTCTAGAGGAGACAGACTCTCCTAAACACCTGTTAAGGCCCTCCTCTGTAAAGTAGGAACCCTAAAACCTAAGTCCCAATGGGATTAGGTCATGTATATAAAACACAACACCCTGCACACATGTCAGTGAAAACAACTGGCAGCCGAGGTCCCGTGATGGGCAACTCCAGCAAGATCCACCTTTCTCTGCTGACTAAAGGCAAGAGCACTCCTCTGAACACTGAACTCTCGTGGCCTGAGACTGAGACTGGAGGTGGTACTTTGGGCAAAGTTTCTGGACCCACTGTACACAGCCTAAAAGACCTGCTCTGTCAACCCCGCCTCTGGTGTGGTTCCTTGAGGCAGGGTTCCACCCCGCTAGAGGAAATCTCTGGCAGCTTCAGCTAGGAACCTAGCCTGTGGGTCAAGAACAGCAAAGGGGAAGGGATGGATGGAGCAATTCCTTCCACCCTCTAGCCCACGACCTTCAGCAGGCTGATTCTGCCTTAATTTCCTCACAAGTGAGTGAAGCAGTCTCATCCTACTTCCCCTGAAGTCCCTTCCTCCACCATCCCCTTCCTAGAGCTGCTTCTAATACCCAGTCAGGCCTCAGGGACACGTTCAGGTGTGTTCCACTTCCTTCAAGCCTCTTGGCAGTCCTCTGGCCCAGCTCCCAAAGCAGGGAGGGTTCCTCTGAGCTGCTTTCACGGCTTTTCTGTTTTTCCTGTGCAGTGGGAAGAAGCGTTCCACCCTAAACTGCTTCTCCCACCTTCCCTTTCCTACCCACAAAGTAGCCAAGGGTGTGTGTGTGTGTGTGCTGGGGCAATCACAGGCTTGCCTGTGTGTCACCTCGGAGATGGTCTCCAGGCCATCCTCCCAATGCACACTCAGGACGGACAAATAAACATTTCAGAGAAACAACATGAATTAAATCATTTCCTCGACAAACAAAACCCACCCACACGCCTCATAAATCATGTCTCTTAATCCCATGCTGATGAACAGTCACTAAATTGCATCTATTGTAAAACCAACCATGACTCCTTTCATGCCCTGACACTCCAGACTCAAAATATTTTCACACTCCATTGTAATGCCTTTGTAGAGGATATACCAATCGCTAGTTCCCTGGAAAGATCCACGGCCAGGGCGCTTTCCAAGAGATTTTTCTTTGAATGTTCTTTGTGTCCTGGCGCACTGGGGGACACGGCCAGCTTGCCTGCATCTGGGGGAACACTGGCTGTTCACGGCAATGCACAACTGCTCTACAGCACACACCAGATGCACCCCTTTGCCCCAACAATAAAAGTATCCCAAAACATTCGCTACGCCACATTCACACAGCTGTGCACAAACACAATTCCAGTGCCTGCATTTTGCAAAGGAGATAAAGAAATCAGGCATCTTCAGAGCAGAAACCACCAGACCCGCCTCGGGCAACATGGTTCACGGAAGGCTAGGCTGCAGACCTTTTACCAAGACCGGCCAGGAACCGCTCGCTCTTTTCCTTTGCATCTATTCATTTCCTCCATGCTTTTATTTGCTGGGCCCAGGAAGAATGGGAAAGCATCTCCAGCAAGGAGGGCGAGGGAGCGGTGGAGAATAAAAGAGGATGGGCGGGTAGGGGGGAGTCAGAGGGTGGGCGAGCGCGGCAACGAAGGCAGGCAGGGTGGTGGCCCCGTCCCGGGGGCTCGGCGAGGCTTACCTGGGGCGCACGAGGCCGGCCGGGCGAGCAGCAGCAGCCAGAGGCCGGGGAGCAGCAACCCCGGGCGGCGGTGGCGGGAGGAAGGCCCGCAGCCGCTCCGCCCCGGCACCAGCGCAACCTTGGCGCGGGGCTCCCACTCCATGGCCACGCGTCGGTTCCCCGGCACACCGGCCTCGCGGCGTGGGCGCGCTCGGGCCCGGGACGCGGGCGGCCGCTGCGGCGGGGACTGGGCGCCGCGCACCGGCGCGCAGCGAGGCCGGCGAGGCGGGGGCGGGCCGGGCCGGATCGGCGGACAGGGGCCGCTAGCACGCCGGCCGCGCCGCTCCGCCCCCTCCCGAGCCTCGCAGCCGCTGCCGGGCAACGCACGGCCCCGCTCGGGGAGGCGAGCACCACCTCCCGGCCGTCCCGGCGCCTGCCTGCGGGCCGCCCGGCGGAGGGCGCGGCGGGTCCCGGGCCCCGCCCTCCCCCAGGACCCGCCTCTCCGGAGGGCGCGCGGGACGGCGCCGCCCCGCACCAACACAGCACCCGGGAGGCTCTGGAAGAACAGTTAGAAACCCGGGGATGCTGGCGATCACTCGTCCAGAGCCGCCCAGGCGGAGCGGGCAGCAGGTGTGTGTGCGGGGCGACCAAGGTCCCGGGCTGCAGAGCGGACAAAGCCGAAAGAAGTCGGGCTCTCTTCCCCGGAGCCCGCGTACAGGAAAGGCTGGGGCGGGAGTGCCCACACAGCTCTGCCCATCCTTTGCCCTTCCAGAGCTCTGCCACCTTGCGAAGGTGGGTCTTTGGAAAGACCTGGGCCTACTGCCCTGAGCTTCGTAGTCTTCAGAAAGGGGCTGCTGAGCCCCAGACACAAACACTCACACAGAGTCTGGCCTTTTTTCAAAGAAAGTAACGCCGGTGAATGATGAAAAAGACAGCGCTGGGGGTTAGTTTCCAGAGAGAATAGTGGAAGGGGGTGAGAGTTAAATTTGTCTCGATGCTAAGAGCCCACCGTGTGAACTCCGAAGATGAAGGTTAGAAGGTCTTGGAAGACACCACGATTTTACTTCAGAGGTTGCTCCAGCCATAATCCGAAAGCTGTGCACGAGGGAAGTATCTTGTTGACCAAGAAACCAAGACGGACAGTGGGAAATGTGAGCCATTCACGCTGGCCAAAGGATCCAGGTTGCTCTTCAGTGAGGCAGACAGACCGGGCCAGAAGGCGCTGCCCCGTCTTGCAGGGCCAACCCATCTATCTAGGCGGAGAATCAATAGTTCCTCTTCTGAAAAAGGCAGGTCAATACCTGTTAAATTTCGGGGGAAATGAGAATGTAGGTTAAAAGCTCTTGTGGCTGACCCCAATTTTTGTGCTTCATTGTGTCAACTCGTAAGCAACCCCCATAAATTGCTCTCTTGCTTTTACCCCACCCCACCCTCCGCCACACCCATCCACAGAGTAATCTCCGCGGGCCCAAATGGAGCTCCTGCTTGTCTAAGCATGTCTGAACCCTGATTACAGTAGCCCTGGGTATGGTCCTCTCGATCCTAGATTTTCTCTGAATTCTTTGTATACACAACTATTTGAGCACAGACCACCCACCTGGGGCAGCTCTTGACATTCTGTTATTTTTTTTATTATTATTATGAACTTGGGCTTTGCCTCCTCCCACTAAATTAAAAGGAAGTTCTAACATGTTGTCACCCCCATAGGCTCTCCCATTACCCCAGGAAGGTTTTATTATATATGTATTGAGAGGAACCTATGCATAGTCTATATTTGGCCTCAGCCTCCAGGACGTTCCCAATTTGTCTAGACTTCTGGGTGGGGCGAAAGGAACCTCAGACCCGGCTCGAAGTAAACAAGAAAACACAACCTTGGGCTAACAGGAAGGGCTCCTGGGCATCAACTCCCTAAGGAAAAGCAGATCCCTAAAATCCTTTGGTCTCCCAGATCTGAAAACATAAAACCAACCTCTGTCGGGAACTGGGGCATTCTCTCTCAGTGTCTGGGAGTGTGTCCCCCAGGGCTCAGCTGGCAGATAACATGACTCTGCAGACGCAGCGGGAATGAACGGGCACGTATGTGTGTGCATGCCTCCACACAGAGTCACACATCTGTGCACATTCGTACATTCGTGTCTGAGAATAGGGATCGAGACGCAGCCTGAGCGCATTCGTGTGAGGTTATGCTATGACTTGTTAGTCCTGCGAGGCTATAAGAGAAGACAGAAGAATGGGCTTTTAGACACTCACCTAATTCTCATTTTGCATATAAATAAGTAAGAGATGAGTTCTCCCTCAGCCAAAGGTAATACACCATCAGCTAGCCGGGGAGAATCAGCCTGGCCCCTCAGCATGCTTCCAGCTTGGTTTGGGAGGAGAGAGAGATAGGGTCAATTTTACTCTTAGATCTGGGGCATAACAGGTACCACTCTGGGCTTCTGCCAGCTGTACCCCAGCCCCACAGACCCAAGAGTCTGATAAGCCGACAAAACACCCACCAGGACCCATCCTCCCTATGCCTGTGTGCCAAAGACTCCCGAATTCCACTCCTTTGGCCCAGCTCACTCCCAGAGCCTGTGTAATATCTTCCTGAGGTCTGTCCTCCCCAAAGTGGGCCCACAGCTGGTGATTCTGGCTTCAGGGAGTAGACAAGGGATAGTTGTTTGCCAGGGTGGTGATGGGGCTTTCACAGGTGGATAGGGTATCTACACAAAGCCTACAGGATGAAGCAAAGTCATCCTCATCAACTTAGACCATGAAACCCAATATGGACAAGTTCAACAGAACCGCCATATACGGGCTGCCCATGCATGCTTCAGCATGGCCAGGGCATAAATTTCATTTTTCAATTTCATATAAACCATATGGAAAATAAACACAGGTGGATTCAGTATTCGCTGGGTTGGCCTCCTGACTCTATTCTGTGTCTCTGTGTATTTCTTTTGTATCTCTGTTTTGTCTGCCTAATATTTCTACTCCATACACCCCTACCTTGGAACACCTGAACCCATCAAGGCTGGAGCACAACAATCCCAGCATTCAGTAGCACATTAAATGGACTTTAGGAATTAGAGAGTACAAGGTTCAGCAGGGATTGCACTTGGAGGGGACGGATGGTCTGAACAAATACATAATGGCAGGAACATGAGATTTTTCTAACTAATGTATTAGCTCAACTGGAACCCTGGTTCCAAGCCTAGCAACTAATTAAAGTCAACTGGAGTCCAATAACTAAAGCATACCATCCCTGGGCCACACCTCCAGTAATTAAATTCAAATGTCTGCCCTTAAGGCTAGAGCAGCGTTCTGTTTAGAAAGCTCCCTGGGATGTTCATGTGCCATCCGGGATGGCAGCTGTTCGGTGAGAGGGATGGGAGGAGTTGATGAACAGGAGAGGAGGTGAAACTGGTACAGGACACGACCTCCACTATAGGGCCGAAGGGCCTGAACTCCACTGGCAGGTAATAGCGATCAGTAAAGATCTTTGGGGAGATTGTTAGAATGAAGCACAAGAAAGATGATCCTATTAACAATGCATAAGGCCATTTGGAGTGGAAAGGCTGGAGAGGGGAGACCAGTTAGAACACTGCAACCCTGAATGCATGAAGCGTGAAGGACCTGAACATCTCCCACCATCAAAGAAAGCAAGCTTAAATTTTTTATCCTTTCTATTTATACAAGAATATGGGGGAAAGGGGCATTCTTAAAACCTACTGATGAGAATGCCAATTGATAGAAGCATTTTGGAGGATATCTTTATCTACCAAAATTTAAAATTGGCTCAACATGTAGCCCAGAAAGCCCAACTCAAAATACAAATGGAAAGATGGCTCCATGGTAAGACCACTGGCTGTCCTTCCAAAGGACCTGGGTTCAATTTCCAGAATTCAAATGCTGGCTCACAACCATCTGTAACTCCAACCCCAGGTCATCTGGCACCCTCTCCTGGCCCACATGGTGCATGCATGCGCATGTGCACACACACATATACACATGCACAGAGAAACAAAATATCTATACATAGAAAATAAACTTGAAACATGTATGATTTCTCTCCCTTCATTCACTCATCCTTTTTTTCCTTTCGATATTTAAAATCAACTCACAAGATAGCCCAGAAAGCCCACCTCAGAATATATATGGTTTTTATGAGCAGTGGTGGTGCACACCTTTAATCCCAACACTTGGGAGGCAGAGGCAGGTGAATCGCTGTGAGTTCGAGGCCAGCCTGGTCTACAAGAGCTAGTTCCAATACAGCCAGGACTAGACAGAGAAACCCTGTCACGAAAAACAAACAAACGAACAAATATATATATGGTTTCTCCCTTCCCCTTACCTAGCCTTCCTCCTTATTTCCTCTTTTTCTCCCTCCTTTCCTTTTCCTTCTTTCTTTTCTCTTTCCTTTGCTCTTTCCCCCTTTCTCTCCCACCCTCAACCTTTCCCAATTTTTTTTCATTTTAATATCTTAATTTAGTTACATAAACTTAGTCATGCAGTTAAATTCCAGGAAATTCACCTTTTTTAAAATGTTCACTGGGAGCAAGGCATGGTGTGCCATGCCTTTAATCCCAGCCGTTGGGAGACAGGCCAGCCTGGTCCACAAAGTGAGTTCCAGGACAGCCAGGACTGTTACACAGACAAACCCTGTCTCGAAAAACCAAATAAAGTAAAATAAAATAAAATGTTCACAGAGTCTTCTGAAGCCACCACCACATTCAAGATAGAGAACACTACTATTGCCTCAAAATTTCCTATCCCTTGCCGTATATCCTGCACACACCCACACATCCCCCTCCAACACACACAAATCCCTGACATCTTTGGATATGATTTACACATCTACAGTTTTGCTTTTTCTCAAATTTCATATAAATGGACTCATACAATATATACAACTTTTAAGTCTGGTTTATTTAGTATTTATCAGTTGTTGCATGTAGCAGTCATTTGTCCCTTTATGTTGTTTAGTAGTATTCCATTGAATGGCCACACCACAAGTTGTTTATACATTTTACTAACTGATCAATATTTGGGTTGTTTCCATTTTCTGGGTTATTTGTTGGCTGGTATTTGTGTAAATTTGTCCTTACATTTTTCTTGAATAATACTTTGGAGTAGAATTACCATATTCTGTAGCAAATATATATATTTAGCTTTATAAGAAACTGATAAATTGCCGGGTGGTGGTGATGCACACCTTTAATCTCAGCATTCAGGAGGCAGAGGCAGGCAGATCTCTGTGAGTTCAAGACCAGCCTGGGCTAGTTCCAGGACAGTCTCCAACGCTACAGAGAAACCCTGTCTCGAAAAA